TGCTGTTACAGTATTACTAGTTTAAAAACAAACTTTGCAGCTCTTTACAGTACACAGAGACACAATGTTGTGATCAGAACTATCAAATGCTTTGATTTACAGATTTTTCAAAGGTCTACCAGTGTGCACAGCTGACCTCTCTGAGGAGATGATAAGAGACATCAATATGAAACCAACCCCCAATGGAATACGCTATATAATCAGCACTAAAGTAGGCATCTAAAAACGACATGAACACTAAAGCATATCTATCTGTTTGTTCTGTATCTGTAACAATAGTATGTCATAAACACTTTAGGTAACACTACAGTTTTATTACCAGTATAGTGTTGTTGAATTCAGTGTCAGTAAAATAAAAAATTGTATGTGCTTTCTTATAACTGCTTATAAATATTTTGCACTTTCAGGCTGGCCCTGGACCACGTGTGGTGGAAGATCCAAACCTTCATTTGCTGGGTGCTGATGGCCTGCCCAAGAAGATTGCAGTTTAAGAATAACCATTGTATACTTGTAAAGATCATTTGTAAATATATTTCAATAAAAAAAAATTGCTGTGAGTAAATTTACTCTTATTAGAATAAAGATATTTAATTGTGACATTTGTCTTTTGGCCCTGAAATGCAGTGTGAAGTTAAAGGATAAAGTTAAAAATGTTTTATAATATTCCTCATCTGTCAGTAACTATTAGTATTTCTTTGTGTAAAGGTGTTGATTAGACAGTTTTACAGCTAATATCAGGCTGAGATGAGCAAAATAAGTGCAAAACCAGTGTTATTTACAAGCTAGTCCTATAGCTGAAGACTAAGTTTTTAATCCCTCATTAAATGTTTCACACAATCACAACTGAAAGCTTGGAGTGTGACTACATATAAAAAATGCATGTATAGTATTATTCCATAGGTATGGGGTGCCATGTAGGATTAAATTCAAATTTTTCTTATTAACACATACATAAAACACATGCATATACACATATATATTACTCTAAATTACACCTATACATCTACACTATTGGATGTTCAAAATAATATATGGGACATTCCACTGAAAGGCTAACATTTGCTTTTGTAATTTCTTGAAATTATTTTTTTTTAAGACTATCTAGCAACACATTTAACTGTTTGAAATGTATATAAAATGTATGTACATTTTTTTTTTTTTTACAAGGTTTCAATGTAGGGGAAGGATCTATTTTCCTCCTGTTACCAAAAATTAAGTTTCTGTTTAAAAGGATGTTATAAAAAATGTAAACTAATTATTTTGTTTTCCACTCACAGTCTACTAATCTAGAAATAGTAGGTAAAATGTTTGAATAATTTATATTTTTTACTAAAAATTCTCTAAATATGTACACAAGGTGTTTTTTATGCAAAGCCTTTTTTTTATTTTACAGGAGACTCAAACTGCAAGTAAAAAAAATTTAAAGTCATGTAATTAGGTCAACTAGGATAAAGGATAAAAATAAGAAAATTTTACCAAATTAAAAAATATATACATAATAATTAATTACAGGAATGAACCCAGTAACAGGAATGAATTTCCAGACACTTGTAGGTGGATTGGCACTCTGCATGTATGGTAAATATATAATAAATGTGATACACTCACAGGCCAATTTATTAGGTAATCCTTACTAGTACCGGGATAAAGCTCCTTTTGCCTTTAGAGCTGCCTTAATCCTTCATGGCATAAATGTAACAAGGTACTGGAAATATTCCTCAGAGATTTTGGTCCATATTGACATAGCATCATGCAGTTGCTGCATATTTGTCAGTTGCACATCCATGGGAATCTCCCATTGCACCACATCTCAAAGGTTTTTTTATTGGATTGATATCTGGTTACTTTGGAGGCCATTTGACTACAGTTAACTCATTGTCATGTTCAAGAAACCAGTCTGAGATGTTTTGCACTTTATGAAGTGCATTATCCTGTTGGAAGTGGCCATCAGAAGACAGAGAATGGCTACACTGTGGTCATAAAGGGATGTATCGTCAACAACAATACTCAGACCTGCTGAAAAATCCATCTTAAACCAGTCCAGGCTGGTTGGCTGGTTTTAGCTGGTCGACCAGGCTGGGACATGACCAGCTAAAACCAGCTATATCCAGCTTAAACCAGGCTGGTCAAGCTGGTTTTAGTTGGATTTGGCTGGTCATTTTCCAACCTGACCAGCTAAGACCAGGCTAGAAATGGCTGGAAATGGCCAAAACCCCTCTAAAACCAGCCTGGTCAACCAGCCTAGGCTGGTTTAAGCTTGATTTTTCAGCGGGGAGGTAGGCTGTGGTGTTGACACAATGCTCAATAGATACTAATGGGTCCAAAGTGTGCCAATAAAATATCTGCTGATGTAGCCCATCCACCACAAGGTTCGACGTGTTGTGCATTCAGAGATGCTCTTCTGCATACTTCTGTTGCCTTTCTATCAGCTCGAACCAGTCTGGCCATTCTCCTCTAACATCAACATGGCAATTGGCCCACAGAACTGCCACTCATTAGATATTTTCAGTTATTTTAGACCATTCTCTGTAAACCCTAGAGATGGTTGAGCGTGAAAATCCAGGGAATCAGCTGTTTCTAAAAGGCTCAGACCAGTCTGTCTGGCCCCAACAACCATGCCACGGTCAAAGTCACTTAAATCAACTTTCTTTGCCATTTTGATTCTCGGTTTGTTTGAACTGCAGTAGATCGTTTTGACGATGTCTATTACATGCCTAAATGCACTGAGTTGCTGCCATGTGGTTGGCTGATTAGAAATTTCCATTAAAAAGCAGTTGGACAGGTGTAACTAATAAAGTGGTTGGTGAGTGTATGTGTGTGTGTGTGTGTGTGTGTATATATATATATATATATATATATATATATATATATATATATATATATATATATATATATGACCAGTGGCTGGTGAGTGTGTGTGTATATAGTGTGTGTGTGTGTGTATATATATATATATATATATATATATATATATATAATGGTAACTGAAATCTAAAAGGATCAAGTAAATCATTTTACATTAACAAATTTTTGCATTGGTATATATGCACTTGAGAATGCAACTGCCACAATTGCCATAGGGCGCATGGGGACATTTTCCGGTGGCCTGGCAGTTTATCTGGCCTGCAACGCACTTCTCCCAAAGTCCTGGTTTCTCTATTGCCTTTAAAAGTTCTGGATGATGCAACTTCTTGTTGAAATACCTTAAAGAATGTTCCAAGTTTATTACTTTCAAAAGCAGATGGATTATCCTGGGTTATCTATCCAGCTATATCACTGGATTTTTCTGTGGAAATCTGTCAAATACTGAACAAAATTATAGTAGACTTTGTTTGGAACTTTAAAACTCACCTAATTAAAAAAGTTATGCTAGCTGATCAGGCCATGGGAGGATTTGAGTAAAAATTATTTATTTATTTAAATTAAAATTATTTAAAATGAAGTAAAGACTTACTTTATTAGTGAGTTATTTCCCAGTGATGGGTTGCGGCTGGAAGGGCATCCGCTGTGTAAAAACTTGCTGGATAAGTTGGCGGTTCATTTCGCTGTGGCGACCCCGGACAAGAAAATAAATGAATAAATGAAAGACCTTTTAAACAATCCAACGCCATGTTGGAATTTCATTCCAAATTATATTTTTAGCTCAGTTGGGGGTTTACATTTTTTTTGTTGCACTGTAGTTTTGACATCTCTAAAATACCATTAAGTTTATCTTAAATATATTGGTCCCTTACATATAATTATAATTTTTCTCCTTGTGTCTATTTTATTTGGGATTATAAAAATAAATCTCTTTTTTTTTAAATAACTGGTTAAATAAAAATATACTTTTAGTTAGTCAGCTCTTAGATGACTGTGGTGTCCCTTTTCCATATGAAAAATATGATTAATTTTCTTTTCCTGTTCTCCCAAATGCCATAGATTTTGGTGCAATCCCTGATTGTGTTATACCTTTAGTCAAATCTAGCGCCAATGGTTCCTCAGATTCTTTTATTTTTGACAACACAAACCTTTTTGATGACCAAACTCTTCTCAGTTATATGTCAAACAAAGTTATTCGCTTGGTTATTAATATATCTCGGATCTCTTTACCTGCTTGCATAGGTTTTTAGAAAAATATATTTGGTGACATAAATTGGGATCAGTTTTGGCTTCTGTAGAAAAAAAAAAAAATTTTTATCTAATAAAGCTGTTGAAGTCTCAGTCAAAATCATTCATAAATTTTACATTCATGAATGTTAAAACTTTTTTTTAATTCAGAAAGGACTTTGATTTATCTGTGAACTCGTTAAAACACTCAAACTATTATATTGCATGTAAAACTTTTTTTTTTGGTGTAAATAATTGAAACTTGTAGGCCCATAATTTGCTGGAATTTTATTTATGTAACCCTTTTTATCTCTTTGTTCATAATGTATCTTTGTAATGTTCTTTCTTGCATAATAATAAAAAAGGATGTTCCAAGTTAATCAGAGGGGTAAATGTGTTTTATATATATATATATATATATATATATATATATATATATATATATATATATATAAAATCATTGATTGGATAAACATTTGCCTGTAAATGCAGTTTGTTTGTTAAATTTGAATACACGATACCCATTCGGTGGAATGTGCATATGAGCGTACATAAACATGATAGATGCAAACACTTTCATACACACGACGCACATACGTACGTATTAACTCGATCCCTGGATAAACACCCACATTAACACACACACACACACACACACACATAGATATAAACTCGCGACATGCAAACACATATGTTCTTTTTTATTGGGAGAATGTTATTTTTTTTACCATCGTCCCGCCTCCTGTGGTTTTTACAGCACACGATACGTCCGCTCTAGGACTTTCATTTCTCTTCATAAAATACAGCAAATGCGGAAGTGACAGTGGGTTGGGTTTGTTACGCTGGTCACAACCCACTTTTCTTTTATAAAAATGAATTGGGAAAAAAAGTTTATTTGCCAGTGACAGCACGCACTCAAGTGATCATGGCGAAGATTGAGTGGGCGATGTGGGCCAACGAGCAAGCTTTGGCTGCTGGACTCAGTAAGTCCACAAATACACTTTTCATATTTAGGTTCTAAAGAACATTTAAGCGAGTAATTGTGTTACATTGTGATATGTGAATACAGTTAAATTAAAACAATATAGAGCTTTAAAAAGAAGATAGGGGATATAATGTTGTTTAAACATAAGTTCTTGTTATGTAGGCTACCAGTTACATTTTTTAAAGTGTTATATGGGGTTTGGTAGGCTGCTTGAGCTTTATTATTATGTTATTAAAACCAAAAATATCATATTTAATTGATTATTTTTGAGTTGTAAAATATTATGTTTTATATATATATATATATATATATATATATATATATATATATATATATATATATATATATATATATATATATATATACATATACATATACACACACACATATATATATATATATAGTTTTAGGTCAAATACAGGCCTTTGTAAATGAAATGTGTAAATCTTTTTTCCTAAAGTTTATCTGACTGGTGGAATCGTTGGGGTGGCTGGTCAGTTCAGAGGCTGGCAGTTTGCAGCTTTTGGGATGTATCCTTACATGCTATGATTGAATGTTTATGCTCTTTCGGTCTTTCAGTGAGTAAAGTGCCTTATTAAAAAAATAAAGTACCACAGTCTATTTATTGAGACCTTAACTGTGAAAGTGCTGCTGGTGTGTTTGTGTGTTTGCTTGAATATCCACGCAGCAAACGGGGCAAAGGCACCAGTATTGAGAGAAGGTAAGTGTTGATGAAAGCCAAGTTACAGGAAGTACAGGCTGGTGATTTCAACACACCACCAACAATTCATAACCAAAAAAAACACTGAGTCATTTGTATAGTGACAACTTCCTTATGTGAACCATGCATTACTTAAAAGAAAGTTTTTATGTTTAATTACAGCGGTCAGTACTGCTTTACAGTGTGTGTAAAATCTTTTGGACCCCTGACCAGAAACTATTACGTCAGAGCTTTCTTACATGCTGCGTAAGTCGTCAGTCACGCCTTGTCAAGCATGTCCCTTTTTTTGTTTAAGATGATTTCGAAAACATTTTTTTTTTTTTTTTTGCTGTATAAGCTGGTGTCTTATCTTTGTGTGTGATTTACATTGCAGGCTCTGTGTCCCTGGAGGGTTCATGTTAGCCACAGTTTTGGGATGTGTGTGTCTAGGAATGGCAAGTTTGATCTACCTCTCTGTAAGTTCATCCAAATAAATGCAAAATAAATAAATGCTTATTTATCTGAAGATAAGGCAAACAACATGACTCAATTAATGTAACTGTAACAAAATGAAGATTGGGGAACTAAAACCTTAGTTTGCTTCCTGCACACTTACTTCCTCTTCAAAAACCCCTTTTCACTTTTAAACTGTTGCAGTTCACCCTAAAGAAATTTTTATTATTTCACCACTGATTGTTGGAAACTCACATTTCTTCTGTGAAACAAATAAAAGTGTAGAGAGCATAAAAAATCTTGATGTCACAATTTGTCATATGCTCATTCTTTGAAAATTAATTTACATTCTCCATTTGCATTAAACAGAGCAGATATTTTAATGCTGTTTCAACAAATGTTCCCATGTTTTTCTAAATAGGTGTTTATGAGTATTAACATTAGGGTTAGCTTTTGATTGTGAACTTTTGCATTATAGGCAGCTATTCATGGAGAGCACTGGGAGCCTATACTCCACATAGAGACAAAAAAACGTCTTGGGGAGAGCATCAAAGAACCTCCTCAAAACCCACCTCCCAGACCTCCCCCTGAACTGCGACGTAAAAAAGCAGATAACCTGGATGCTGCAGCATATGACAATCCTATGTCTGTCACCATCAACGAATAAAGATTTCCTAAAAGTGTAAATAGTTCAAGAGGTGATGGCAACAAGTAACAGTAATATGGAATGTTTATGATGAGTTATACAGACAAACTGCATTATCATCTGATATAATTGTCTTAAAACTTAGGATGTCACTCATTTGTTGTGTCTAAAATAATGCCACATTTTAGTTCCACTTTTTTGTTATATGTGTAACCTTTTTCTGTGTCTTTTTTTTTGTTGTCTAGAAACAATATTTTATTTATCTCTGATTTTTAAAGTAAAGAAAACAAAATCATGAGATGGTCATGTATGAATGATGAAAGCCTGTTTTAAAATGTTTTGTTACAAGGAACAAGGAAGTTAATTTCCTTTTGTGTCCTCTCGATGACTTGTTTGAAATGTTATATGAAAACAAACAAAAAAAACTTCATCTGACATCTACCAAGTAGATATAAACAATAAAGATAAATGGAAAATATCTGATTCAGATTTTCATATATTCTGATATCTTGATTTTTGTTCTTGAATGAGGATTAATAACGGCAACACTGGATGAGGTTGCAGCATCATCTAGTGCAGAGGTGGCCAACCCTTTTCCTGGATATCTACCTTCCTGCAGATGTCAGTTGCAACCCTGATTAAACACACCTGCCTGTAATTATCAAGTGTTGTTCAGGTCGTAATTAATTGGTTCAGGTGTGTTTGATCAGGGTAGGAGCTAAACTCTGCAGGAAGGTAGATCTCCAGGAACAGTACCCCTGATCTAGTGAGTATGCGGAGCTGTGATCCTTTTCACAGGATTGTTATTGGTCATCAGCATCTTAAATCCTTGAAAGTTTTTTACTATTTAGATTTTTTAAAAATTGTATGAGTATTTATATGTATTTATTTAAGTTTTATATATTTTTGCATCATATTTATATACAGTACTCTCCCAATTACTGCAATTACTGTGCTAAGTTTTTGAAATGGATACATTAATGGGGCATATGAACACAATACACTATTACAATACAATCTATTTACTATTGTTGAGTCATGGCCTAAGAAGAGTATGTTAATGTACTTCTCCACCACTTATCTTCTCAACTTTGCTTTCATGTTTAGCTGGTTTTGGGGGTTGGTTTTCAATCATGTTTGACAATGCTTTGCTCAGGGTATAAGGAGGAATGGTAACTGTTGATCGGGAAAAATGGCTTTTACTCTGCATCTGCCACACATCGGTGTGTAGCCTCATATGCTAGCAAAGTCTCGGTTACATAACTGTTCATTTGTTACAGCTACAGTGCATCTTGAAAGTATTCATAGCACTTCACTTTTTCCACATTTTTTTATGTTATAGCCTTATTTCAAAATTAATTGATTAAATTAATTTATTTCTAAACACAATACCCCATAATGAAAACATGAAAAAAGTTTTTTTTTGTAAATGTTGCAAATTTATTAAAAATTAAAAACTTGAAAAATCACATGTGCATAAGAATTCACAGCCTTTGCTCAATACTTTGTTGATGCACCTTTGGCAGCAGTTACAGCTTCAAGTCTTTTACAATATAATGCCACAAGCTTAGGACACCTGTCATTTTGTTGTATGGCAAGCGACGGTGTACACTCATTTTCAGATCTCTCCAGAGATGTTCAGTAGGATTTAGGTCTAGGCTCTGGGCCACTCAAGGACATTCATAGAGTTGTTGTGAAGCCACTCAGATATTTTGGCATTGTGCTTTGGGGTCATTGTCCTGCAAGAAGATGAACTGTCACCCCAGTCTGAGGTCAAGAGCACTCTGAAGCAGGTTTTCATTCAGGATGGATCTGTTCATTCCTGCATTCATCTTTCCTTCTCTCCTGGCTAGTCTTCAAGTTCTTGCTGCTGAAAAACATTCCAACAGCATAATGCTGCCACCACCATGCTTTACTGTAGGGATGGTATTAGCCTGGTGATGAGCCATGTCTGGTTTTCTCCAAATGTAACACCTGGCATTCACTCCAAAGAGTACTATTTTAGTCTCGTCAGACCAGAGAATTTTGTTTCTTAGAGTCTGAGAGTCCTTTACATACCTTTTGGCAAATTCCAGGCATGGAGTGGCTTCCGTCTGATCCCTCTACCATACAGGCAGGATTACTACACAGATGGTTGTCCCTCTGTAAGATTCTCCTCTCTCCACAGAAGAATGCTGGAGCTCAGACAGAGTGACCATCGGGTTATTGATCACCTCCCTGACTAAGGCCCTTCTCCCCCCGATAACGTAGCGATGGCCGGCCAGCTCTAGGAAGTGTCCTAGTGGTTCCAAACATCTTCCACTTATAAACAGATCTTTTAAACCCAGTTGCTTTGCGCACGTCCTGTCTTGCTGATATGATTATACACATTACCATGGAGACGTGTTAATATGCAGCAGTCAATCAATTTGGTGGACATGGAAAACTACACTCCTATGTCACATTTTAACATCAGGATATTTTTAAAAAGAGAATTGTTGTGTTTTTATCATTCCAATATGACTGTGGACACACTTTACATACACACAGTTCTGTCCAAAGCAACATTGACACAGTAAATTGAATAAATATAAAGTTAGATTTATTTTGTGGTCACAAGTAAATACAATTTTTAAGGAAGAGTTCAGATCTTAGGTATAACATTAGATCAAACTAACACATGCACAAATTTGAAGTTGTTCCATGCTTAATTACAGTACCTCCAGCCATCTCACCCCCCCGCCCCCTCACACACCTGGGTGCACTTCAGATCAGTGAGGATAATGTGCATCAAATCTTCAGTAAACAGAAAAGGACAGCACCAGGCCAAGACGGTGTTTCGCCAGCCTGTCTGAGAACCTGCGTTGACCAATTGGCTCCCGTTTTCTCATAGATCTTCAACAGCACAAAGTTCCATCCTGCTTTAAGCGCTCCACTATCATCCCAATCCCGAAGAAGCCAAAGATCACAGGACTCAAATACTACAGACCTGTTGCCTTTACATCTGTGGCTATGAAGTCATTCGAAAGACTGGTGCTAGCATATCTGAAGGACATCAATGGACCCGTGCTGGACCCCCTGCAGTTTGCCTAAAGAGCAAACAGGTCTGTGGATGATGCAGTCAACATGGGACTGCATTATATCCTACAACATCTGGGCAAACCAGGGAACTATGCAAGAATCCTGTTTGTGGACTTCAGCTCTGCCTTTAACACCATCGTCCCGTCATTGCTCGAGAACAAACTGACCCAGCTCTCTGTTCCTAACTCTGTCTGTCAATGGATCAACAGCTTTCTGACAGATAGACAACAGCTAGTCAGAATGGGCAAAATCACATCCGACAGCTGCACCATCAGCACTGGTGCCCCAGGGATGTGTTCTCTCTCCACTGCTTTTCTCCCTGGACACCAACGACTGCACAGCAAAAGACCCCTCCATCAAGCTCCTAAAGTTTGCAAACGACACTATTGTTATCGGCCTCATCCGGAACGCTGACGAGTCTGCATACAGACAGGAAGTGGAGCGGCTGGCTTTATGGTGCAGATACAACAACCTGGAGCTGAAAACACTCAAAACAGTGGAGATCATAGTAGACTTTAGGAGAAACCCCCTGCACTCCCCCCACTCACCATCATGAACAGCACTGTGGCTGCAGTAGAGTCATTCTGGTTACTGGGGACCACCATCTATCAGGATCTGAAGTGGGACATTCACAGAGACTCTATTTTGAAGAATCCCCAGCAGAGTACTGTTAAGTTAAACCGGCCACAGAAGCTGCTCGTACGTTCTACTTAGCTGTCCTCCTATCCATCCCCTGCACTTCAATAACTGTCTGGTTCGGCTCAGCTACCAAAACTGACCTCCGTAGATGACAGCGAATAGTCCGGACTGCTTAACAAATCACTGGCACTACCTTCCTACACTTCAAGAACTGTACTCTTCCAGAGTGTACTCTTCCAGAGTGAGTAAAAGGGTGCGCAAAATCACTCTGGATGCCTTGCACCCAGACTATGACCTATTTGAACTGTTACTGTCTGGTCGGCGCTTCAGGGCACCAATCACAAAAAAAGCCAGAAACAGGAAAAGTGTCTTTCCTCGGGCTATCTACCCTATGAACAGTTAAATATTCCCCAACTGTGCAATAAACATGTGCAACACTTTCTCATACGCACTTGTACACAGCACCTTATATCAATATACAATGCAATACTTTCTCCATTCACATTTGTACACAGCACTATATAACCGATATTTATGACAAATCTGTGCATACAATTCAGCATCCAGATTTCTTGATTAACTGCATCTCTGTTTAATGTTTATTGTCTTTTTTTCCCTCATATTTATCTTGTGTTGACACTTGTCACTTTATGTACACTGGATTGGGAATAAAATTGTTCTTTTCAGATCTAGAGGTCATTAACACTGTAAATATAACAAAAAGTCAATTGTTTTTATTATACTTTTTAGTTATATTTATTATATTTATGCTTGTATTTTTAAGTAATAAAAAGTTTATTTCAATTCAACAAAAAAAAATTTAAAACAGCTATTTCTTTTTACAGTTTGTGTCAGAAAACCCAAATTCAAGCCTCAGTTTATTGTGAAGACAAATATGGTGGCGCAAAGATCATGAAATTGGGATGTTTCTCAGTGTGGCTTTGGCCTATTTATCATTTACCAGGTTTTATGTATTACTTTGAACATCTCAATACTGTACTTGAAGACATCATGTTGCCTTACGTCAAAAAGGAAATGTCTTTAAAACTTGACATACAAGACATACCTGTTTCTTACTTGATGCAACACAGATATGCAGGTTATCTATAACAATGGTTAGGCAGTTAAAGAGTTAATTCAGAATTAAAAAAAAATAAGTTTAAAAAAAATAAGTTTAAAACCTAAAAAAATAGGTTTAAATAAAATGCCCATACTGCTAACTTTAATATTCCATTGTCATTTAAAGAAAGCTCATCAGTAAATGTCTTTAAAAGAAAACAGGTTATAACATCTGGTCTCATTGCTATACTATAATGTGGAGATTTATATATTAAAAAAAAAAAAAACCTTGTAAGATCTACTTTTCACATTAACATTCTATTTTACTCTCCCTAAAATTTAAATCCACACCCACACACACGTGCGCACGCACGCACGCCCGCACACACACAAAGAAAGGTGCTGAGGTGGAGGACTTCTCTTCTGCTGAATCCAGCAGTGCAGCAGGTCCCTTGCCCTACCTATTTAAATCATTCACCCCCTGCCAGTATTCTGGAAAATTGTAAACATGGGCAATTTGTCTAAGCGGTAACAAACCAATAAAAGATAAAGTCCACCATTCTTCAATTCTCATATAGCTTTCCTGACAAAAACTCTTGCTACTGAAGATTTCTATTCTCTCAGTGTGAAGTATTTTCTAAGTGTAAAGCAGTTCATTTTCTCTTCTTAAAGAGTAGAGTGTTTGCAGCAAACATGCCAGCATGTGTTAAAAATACTGTGTAAGA